GTGGCATATATATATGCCACAGAGAGAAGTCCAGATTGGACAGCATGGCCCTAAACAACCTTGACTCCAGCAGAATCCCACATGGGACCTCCAGGAACAGCCATAGGCTGTGGCACGCATCCAGACATGCCAACACTCTCCTCAGCAGAGTCCAAAAGAACCAGTGGAAGGGCTCTTCAGAGAATGGAAACAGAACAACCCTCTTGCGTCACGCCTGAAGAACGAATAACATCCATACTCAGTTCTTTGCATATAAGACACATTGCTAAGCAAGGGACAGCCTGGCAAAGCACTGCTTTAACTACTTCAAGGTAAAAGGGTAACTAAAATGTTTGCATTTTTTTCTTCCACTTGTGTTTTAAGTTTACCCACATCTGCCAAAACTCCAAATCAGAAAATCTCAAGACATGTAGGTGTCAGTCTCAGAAGTATGGAAGCCTTTTCAGCTGTGAGTAGATACCGAACCCTCAACAACCGCAGAGCAGTGCAACGTACAAATTAGCAAGCTGCCACAAGGAGGAGAAATGAGATAACWGCTTGGTGTTAAATCAGCAAGCATTTTATTCTAATCTTTTCATACTCCAAMTTTCTTTTCTAGGTATTGCCAATGATAAAACTGGATTTTGCTTCACCACATAAAATCTCTACAGTTATGCTGAAAGATAATTCATTCATTGACGCCCACCAAAACATGTTAGTAACAGCACATTTCTGTCATTTTCAAGAGTTTTCATTTCCTTAGCTGTAATTTTTGCTTTGTTTCTTAAAAAAAAGCATGACAGAGACATAAAAATCTGAAATAGATATGACCATTAATTTTCACTTCTGTGGGTTTTGAAGAATCATTACTTTGAATTAATGAATGGAAATATCCAACTGTTACGACAGTTGTGGTTTGTACTCTTCTCCAGACTACTAACCCACCGTAAAAGCGTTAAGAGTGAAACCCTGTTCGTGATGCCTGATCTCCAGAGAAAGCACACTTCTCAAAATGTTGCTTCCCCCTATTGGTCATCTGAGCCTTTCAACTCCGAAGAGATTGACTACTAACCCAAAATACCAAATATCAGTCTGCATCAACTCSGTTACTGATCTATAGTATGCTTTCCGTGTTATGAAGCCAGGTATGCCCTATCTTCTGAACATTTCTGATTAAAGTAGGGTTTGAACAACATTAGCACGTGATCAGGACAATGACATAATCAGGATCCATGGTTTATCAGCCAATCTGTGTAACAAAAGGGTAGCAATTCATTCCTTTCTTACTCTTGAATGGCATTAACTAAAACTAACATACAGCTGAGTCACTGGCCTACTTCAAGCCTCAAAACTTTGGCAGCAACTGGAAGAGGACATAGGGCCTGCTTCTAATCTATAACACTAAAAAGAGAATAAATAATAATTATATTTTGACTGAGGGATCAACAATAATAGCAGGGCCAGAGACAACGCCCTTCTATCTCTGCAGTAAAGCAACACATGTTCCAAACTCACCTCCACATCCAAAAACTCACTCTGCATAGTCTTAGTCTCAAAACAAAAATAAATAACGAAAACAATGAAAGGCTAATTCTTAAGGCTAATTTCTTCCAGGGTTATGTGGTCTAGAATGTATTTATGAAATTTGTCGAATTTTCAGAACATGTATATAACTACTCAGTTATGGTGTAGATTCCACAGGCTTTCATTTAATCAGATTTTTCCAAATTAAAAAGRGATTTATCACTTCTCCTAAAAACAACCTTGCTTGCAATGTACTGATATCAATGATTTAGCATATTTAGATATGTAGGGGGCAAGAACACAAGAGCTTGAGGTTCTATCCTACCTTCATGTAATCCAGGCTCTCTCTGATAGCGTAACAATCTTTTGGCACATAGTGAGGGTAGCAAACATATATAATCCAACTTAACCTATAAGAATCTGGAGGAGGAGTTGTCTGTATCACCAAAAGAAACATGAGGGAAAGCAGTTCCCATATTTAATGAAATCATCATTAACCCATTAGATAATTTATCAATTAAAAATATATATGCACAGTGTTGCATATAGGTAAATGGTAAAAACACCAGGTTGGAACCCCACTGATACACCATACACATATAACACATGCAGCACAGACCCAGTCCCCACATGGGTGCCCAAGTGAGTGGGGATGCCTGAGAAGCATCACCGGATTGCATAAAACTTGCACTCCTTCCAGGAGTGCACTCCTCTTTACCAACCCTATGAGTCTCAGTTGAATGGGACAAATGTAGGCTGCTTGACTAGCAAATGCTCGTAGGAGATAGCATTGTCTGCATAGCAGATGGATTTGTTTCCCAAGGAARTTCTCAAAATTCATTATGTTATTTGGTAGCTTAATCTGCAGGATGTAAAATATACTCTCAAACAGGGAAACTGAGTATACATCCCTCCAGTTGATAATTCTTGAAACACAACCATCAGCCACTAGGAGGCATTTTATCTTGAACATGATCAAGGCTCAGCAGTACCTTACACTAAAAAACTTAATACAAATCAGAAAACGTAAATCGAGCCAAGCTCTGCTGCTAGCTGTTATAGCAGACAAAGAAACACATAACCCCAAGGCACATGTGACTACTCTAAACTTAGCATATACCATTTCCTTAATATCTCGCCAAGTCTTGTCTCCTGGCAGGCTTTTCCAAGGAAAATTTTATATTGACTTACATTTGATGCGAACCATATAAACATTTTTCTTGACAAGAGAGAGCATTTTAGCATGTCTGGAAATTCTTTTTTGACTGATGGAAAATTCAGCTTCCCAGCCCATCACTGCACTGTACATGAATTAGCAATATTAATAGTCTATCCTTTGATTACTAGCTTCACTGTGAGAAAAAGATATTGAAGTGCACAGAAAGGAACATTTCAAAGGGAGGACAGAAYATGATATATTAGGGAATAACTTATGTTTTATCACCCTTTCACTTTGTTTCTGTAAAGTAGTATGGAAATTAGCCCAGTAAGGAAATGTTGCTACAACATGAATCAGGAATGTGGCAGAGAAATGAGAATACTCCCTCACACTTTGCATGTATATTGTTTTACCACTCCAAATCCATCTCTTCTTGAGTTAAATACATTTTGCACTTCAGAAATGTTCACTGATCCAACAAAAGTGAGGGGAAAGAGACCTGGCACTCAGAGACTTTGCTTGTTGGGCCAGATGAAACTGAAGTTCTTTTTTACTGCAGAGTTCCTTAGTTTTCACTCCGCTGAATATATATAGGCATACAATATTTATACATATATGAAGATAATTTCTTCTGTAAGTAGAGAAAGAACAGCATCCATTTGGTCAAATTCTGTGCTTTTTCCTTCACTGAGAATTTCTGAAGATACGATTTAAATATTGAAAAAGYAGAAACAGAGTAGCACTACAGCTTACAGCCAATTATATGTTTTTCTCTATGGGCTATCACTCCATGTACTTCTTCTCTTTTCAGACACTTTTCAGCATTTAATCTGTGTCTATTCTTGGTGAGAAACAGTGGTTTTCCAGCTTCATCTGTTTTTTTTTCTTGTTGCAGATCATGTTACCTGATTTGCTCATGAGCAGAGCATTCTCACCCCAACTGCTCCCCTGCCAAAAGCCTGCTGGTAGAATCATAGTAATCTTCTAGGCTGAAGTCCCTTTCCAGGTATGGTTGGGCAAACATATTTACCATGAAATAGCTAAAGAATTTATTTTCATGTTTTTTATTATATAACGTAGAATAGGATGTGAGTTTATAAGTGTTTGGCTTTCTTTTATTGCAGTATAGTTTGTTAGGCTGCCACTTATCAAGTTATTTGTGAAGTTATTAATTTTTTTAATAAATGAATAAATACATTATAGATCTTTTTTTGTCTACAAGGAAGAAAAATGTTGTATCTTAAGGAAGGTCTTGTTTAAAATGTCTGGCAAGCAGGAGCAGAGCACGTCCAAAAAAGGTCAGATGTACTTGTGGAATGTCGTCTGTTTAACTTAAATATGCATAACACACTTATCTTCACTGTAAGATGAAGCTGAATACACAGCACATTATTGTACACAAAGTTTTGTTTTTCTCTTAATGTTCCTTTTTTTCCTCTTTTTTTTTGGTGTTCTCTCTGTTTCTGTAAACATATGCATACACACATTCACACAGACTCAGATACCATCAGCTGTTAACCAGTCTCAAGAGGGACTAAAACAGTCTGCAGATGCACGACTGAAACTATTTTAGCTAGGGGAATTAATTTAACCTCCTGTTTTATGTCAAAAGTGAAAATCTAATTTCTTATAAACTGACTTATTTTTATGTGGCACTCATAAAACTATTTCATCAAAACTTATTAGAATTTTAAGACTGTTTTCCAGAAAGAAAGAAAGAAAGAAAGAAAGAAAGAAAGAAAGAAAGAAAGAAAGAAAGAAAGAAAGAAAGAAAGAAAGAAAGAAAGAAAGAAAGAAAGNGAAAGAAAGAAAGAAAGAAAGAAAGAAAGAAAGAAAGAAAGAAAGAAAGAAAGAAAGAAAGAAAGAAAGAAAGAAAGAAAGAAAGAAAGAAAGAAGACACCAGGGAAAAACATACTGCAAGTTTAGAGGAGTACTCCGACCATAAAGCTAAAAGCAAAAACTTACTGCTTGTGACAAATAACTTCCAGACTGTGCAGAACTAACATTTAAGATGTTATTCCAAGATATTAAAGAAATAGTTTAAAAACTCCCTGGAGTCTGTAACATGAAAACAAGTAAGAACAAGAACGAATGCAGCTGAGGCAGAGAGCCCTGTACAGTCTATTTAACCAGAGAAAAAGCAAAGCACAGAGAAACCTTTGGGATAATAATACATCCTCCTGCAACTTACCCCTTTAACATTATCTATGTTGCTGTATTAGTGAAGAAAAAGTGTTCTGGTGAGATTTGTGAATACATTTCTTAAAAGCTATTAAATGATTGGTGAAAATAAAAATAAAATAAAAGCATTAAATCATAAGAAGCTTGAATTACTCACCGTCTTGTTGTGCCAAAATAACTGAGGGTTGAAACACGGCAAGAATGAGCAAAGTTACTTTTTGCACAAAGCTCATCATGTCTAAATATTAGACATGAGACTCTCTGTGCAAAAATAAAAATGGGGGGGAAAGAAAAATCTATTCAAAGTAGCAACATCGGGTGTTCCCTGCCCTTCCAGCACCGGGCCATGTACAGAACTCAGCCACAAGCATTCCCTAGCTTTGGCCTTAAATAGGAAAAAAATTGGCTTCCTTTACTTTTCCACCCCCTTTACTGAAATATGAGAAGAGGACCCATCCCCTAACTGTAAATGAATGATTAATATTTCTCTTGGCTTTAAAGAAGAATAAAGTCAACTACACAAGATAAACAGCACATCTGGAACTTTTGTGTGTATATGAAATGCACACTGAGGCCATATATGAACAGTTAGCATATGCAGTGTGAGAGTTACATGCATGTGAAATAAAATAAATTAAAAAAAAAGTAGTTCCGTGGTAAAGCATGTTTCAAGTAAATGAGGAATGAGTAGTTATGGCCCAAATAACATTTATAATTCTTAGGACTTCCTAAAAAAACTAAAAGGTACCTRATGTGGCCATAGAAACTGAAAGCATCTCAGGAGTTGAAGAGCAATCATGGATATTTCTGCTGATGAGCAGTCAGCAATAATGGAAGTGAGGCACTAAAGTTGCAGCACATCTTTCCAGGGCTTTTCTCACCAGGTCTGCCTCACCTCATGGCTGTGTGTAACCTGAGCAAAAAGTAAACGTGAAATATTTTGCGCAGAAGATAAGATCCCAAATCCTTCACAAACTTTTTTTTTCCCAAATAATTCAAGTTAAAACTGTCATTACAATATTAAATGCAGAACAAGTACTACCTTTTTCTTCACTGGTTAAACTTCAAATAAAAAAATCTCTTGAGACTATTATTTTTTAACTTGAGTTCTTTCTTTATTCCATGCAATACTTTACTCAGAATAAGAAGGATCAAAACACAAACTTATCTTCCAAATAAGATTGCTTAAACAGGCTTTGTTAGGAATATTTTTGTGACCATACTTTTATTTAAAAACCTGTGAGGCTTCAAAACTAATTTAGAAAGTTTTCACAGAGTTTATTACTGCTAAACCAATGATCAAATTAATTCCTCATTCAATTAATTGAAAGAGCTCAATTTGGTCCTACTTGTGGACTGTAAGAGCACTCATTCATTTATTCTTAAGTATTTCTGAAATCACAGTTACATAGAGGGGTCATTTCTCCTATAAGAAATTTATGTTTAGAACTGTCATCCCATAAAGGTGATATCTATGCATTTAAAATAAAGAAAAAAAATTTAAAAAAAGTACTTAAAGCAGCTTGAGGTTATCTTTATATCAGATAGGTACAGGGCTTCATTTCAAAACCTGCTTATCTGAAACACATGTGCTCTTAAATGGGAAAACTCTTCTGCCAGGGTCATTTGAGGCAGAAGCAAGCATGAAGATGTCCAAGTTAATTTGATGTCACTTATATTCTGAGATGCTCATCTGTGTCTTAAAAACTTGTAAGATGCAAGTGGTTTGGTACATTTCAATTACAATTTTCTATGACAATTACATACCTTTTATCCACATGAATGAAACAGTCTCTRATTCTCCATATTGACTGTGTTGGGTGGTAGAGTTACTTTTGGTGTTTTTGGTTTTCATAACCAGTATTGTGTTACTTAATAAGTTAGGTTATTTGATCTACAAATTCAAGTAGCTACAACAACCAAATGGACAACCCTCTCCTATTAAGTTATCCTAGCATGAAAGAAAAAATACTTTAGATTTTCATACATATATCTGCAATTTATTTTTTTTCCCAAAATGGTGCTAGCAATATAAATTATAACAATAATACATGTAATAATACCTGGACTGATTTGGTTGGCTCTCCAAGAAAAACACAGGAGTTTGTAGGCTTGTCCAATGACCAGACAGAATCTCTTTGCTTTCCTTCAGGAGGAAAGAAGGAAGCAGTATTTCTGTTCAGTATGAGAAGATATTTATGACTAAACTGTAGCGATWTAACTGCTTGCAGTAAGTTCCCTTGCAATGTACTCAAAAAGGTTTTATCTTGATATAAAAATATGTCAGTTATAGCTTCATTCTTTTTTTTTTTTTTTTATGCATAAAGTGAAGATTGAAATATTAAATCAAAACTGTACTGAAATCACTGAAAGACTGAACCCAGATTCAAAATGTTTGGTCTGTGAGACTAGTTGAACCAAGAGACTGTATCCAATTCCTTCTTAGCAATGGAATGATTTAGTTACTTAGCAAAATTGCTTTAGAGCTGGCTTTTATTTGAACTCTGATTACCCTATTAATGACTACAACTTAGCAATGATTTCATATACATAAAAACTAATGAATATTTAATGTTTACATTTAAACATCTAAAGAAAAATAAGGGAAATTAGATCACAGTCTTTGTCTCAAAGTCACCTTCAAAATTAACCTTTTAACCTATTTGACTTTGCTAAATATTTTTCTTTATTTCTTTAGTTTTTCCTCCCTTATTTTCAATTACACGTTCCTTTAATTTAAAGGAAATTAATTTTGGATCATTCCATTCAAATTTAAATTCTAAAAGCAGTTCTGGATTGTTCCACTTGGACATGAAAGTAGGCCCTAACTTCACTACAAGTCCAGAATTATCCATTTTATACGTAATAATTCCTGTCAATCCGAGTGCTGGAAATTACTATGGTGGCAATTTTGAGACTCCATATAAAAATTGCCAATATAGCATAATGGATAAATTCCATAAAAAATAAAATAATCTATGGACTGTATCTTCCTTGGATCCTTGAGCATGTTTGCTGTGGTTCAGCATACATTGAAAGACAATAAACAGCTACCAAATTCTCTTTAGTGCTATGGTGCTGGCTTCCAATAACCAGTATTTGTCATTACACCTGTGTCAGGAACATGATATTTATCTTTCTTTCTACATGATTTTAACCAGAGTAAATAACTTCATAATTCAAAAAGGGGCATAGAGTTTCACAGAAAAAAAAAAGGGGCATAGAGTTTCACAGAAAAAAAGCTGCAAATAGTGACAAAAAAAAAAAAAAAAAAAAAAAAAAAAAAAAAAAAAGGAGTAAAAATATGTGCATTTAGATAAATTCCCCAAAATATCACATCACTGAAGTCTGCCTTGAGGATTCAAAGTAATCTTGCAAGGAAACTCTTTTCTCCCCACCAATACTACACTTTCAGGGAAAACAGACATATTGCTAATTAATGCATCTATGATATTGCTTTCCCTTCAAAATCATTAAAAAATCTGACCTAAAACAAAGCTGATGCATGATCACTAAACAAAAAGATGAACTAGTTTTTAACCATTTATCTTTATAAGCTAGAATTAAAACAAATTATGACAGGAATGATGATTTATAGGACACTTTCAGGAATAAAGGTGGTCATATCAATGGAATTGTTCTATTTATCTCCCAACTTTCCATTTCTCYGAAATTATTTCCTAGGAGGATGGGAAATTGAGACACAGTCTCTTATTCACATGTATATTATTTTGAGCTTTGTGCACCTTCAATGATTTTCATGAGTGAAAATTCTCCTTTTGCAAAACCTCTGCAGATATGAGGTACAATTTTTCATCTTAGTCACTCTGGGAACTAACTGTGTTACAGCACAGCTGTGAGGGCTCTTAAAACAGAGCCAAGAATATGACAGTACACGGGTGAAGCAGACAGCACCCACAGCATTTTCTCTTCATAGCAGCAAAGACAYAAGCCAAACTAGTTTAATGACCTTTGGGTGTATCAAATGCTGGGGAATTCAAAATCTGTGGACAGGGTGTGGATTTTTGTATTGGACACGTACGTACTCTCTTAGCCAATGATGAAATGTGTTAATTTAGAACATTGGCACAAACCTTTTAGGAAGATGCTCCTCCTTTTTACTGAGGTGTCAAACTTACTCTGCAAGAAATATTTTTCTGCTTGTTTCAAACTCAGATTTCCATTGCACATCTGAAAAAAACAGACTTTCAATTTTTAAAGAAATACCACAGTCCTATCCAACTACAAGCTTTCACTCTCTATGACTTGTCATTKTTGGAAGGTCATACATTACTAATATCCAACATTAAAAACCTATTTTTGACTATTTACCAACAAGCTTCTTTGGGAATGGTGACCTATGTTTAGCTTTACATGATCACATACAGTGATATTCTGCTTTACCTCTAAATATAAAAAGCTAGACCTGTCAAGAAAATGGTCTGAAATTGAGTTAACCTAAAACCTAAAAAGTGGGCTTCTCTTCCATCCCAGAGTTTGTGCAGAAAATGTGCATCACATGGATTCGACTGCCACTCCATTGGCATTRCACAGACTTACGGCTGCATCGCTTTAGATCTGTTTTCAGGAGGAGTACGTGTAGTTCCCAGCAGAAGTCCAGTGTATCGAACCTCAGCTATTCATTCATCTCAGACCTCAGTACAGAAAGGTTCCAGAAAACAAGGGTTCTGGCTTCAGGACCAGCAATCCAGAACATTTTATGAATGCTTACTTTTTTAACAATAAAAGAAGAAAAATAACAACTGTAATTTACAGTTAAGAATTATTTCAAATGATTGATTCTTTGCTTTTTTTTGGTTGTTGTTCTCTGATTTGCTGTTTTTCTAATGAGTCAGTAAGCATTTTTTTTCGAGTTTATTAAATCATAACAAAAGGCCATCCATACTCATGACTCATCCTTTAGAAAAAAARTAGAAAGCCACAAGATTAAGTGTTTTAACTCTTAATCTGTTCAGAATTAACATTTTTCAAAGTAAAAGAACTCAAATGAATCTATTGAAAAAATATTAAGAAACTGAACATGTGCAAATAGATCACAGAATATGATAATAACAGATTTTTCCACAGAAAATGAAAWCTCAGTGAAATAACTGTCAGTCTTTAATGGCATCATTTGAACAATTTTCACTTCCTGATCACACTAAGTAGGTATGAATTTATCTTCTGGACCACAGGTACCTTAYGTGTCCTACAGAGCACATGGAATTCCTAGAACGGAGAAAGAGGATCCAAATGATTTTCTGGAGTTCCTGGATGTAAACCAAGCTGGGGCAGTCCTGCTGCTATTACTCGTGATGGGAGTACTGTCCTAAGCATATTAAATCACCACAGTCACTATCTTGAGA